CTGTAGCGTTGTATGGAGTTGTTGTGACCAAAGTGCCAGACCTGGCACTTAGCCATGTTGAACCACATGCAGTTGACCTCAGCCCATCAATCCAATCTGTCCAGATCTCTCTGCAGAGTCCTCCTGCCCTTGTGCAGACCAACACTCCCACCCAACTTGGTGTCATCTGCAAACTTACTGAGGGCGCACTGGATGCCCTCATCTAGATCATTGATAAAGATGCTAAACAGAACTGGCCCCAACACTGAGCCCTGGGGAACACCACTTGTGACCGGCCGCCATGTGGATTCAACTCCATTCACCACAATTCTTTGGGCTCGGCCTTCCAGCCAGTTTTTTACCCAGATGGAAAAAAAGCTGTAATGAGTACGCCCGTCCAAACCATGAGTTGCCAGTTTCTCCACGAGAATGCTGTGGGAAATGGTGTCAAAGGCTTTACTAAACTCCAAGGTAAACAACATCTACAGCCTTTCCCTCACCCATTGAGCAGGTTACCTTGTCATAGAAGGCGATCAGGTTAGTCAAGCAGGACCTGCCTTTCATAAACCTATGCTGACTGGGCCTGATCACCTGGTTGTCCTGTAAGTGTTGCGTGATGGCACTCAGGATGATCTGCTCCATAACTTTCCCTGGCACTGAGATCAGGCTGACGGGCCTGCAGTTCCCCAGATTCTCACGAAAACCTCTCCATGACTGAATAAAATCTTGTAGCTGTCTTCACAGAAAGCATCTCCTATGGTTTTGGACACCAAATAACAATGAAACAACAACAGATACAGTTTTGCAAACCAGCTTTGTAGGAAAGCTGAACACACAGAGGTAATATGCTCATATATGCTCTATGAGATTCTTACCTTCAAGAACTGGATTTGATTGCAGAAGTTGTTCTTTTACTTGATTAACCTCTGCTCCTTTTCCACACACAGCAGCTACATACGACATGACAAGTTTGCTTGCCTCTGTTGGGGAGGGGGGAGAGCAAAATAAAACAGTGATAAGTATTGGCAAATAGGCCATAAAATGATTTGCAGACTTGATCGCCATCACATTTTCACTGTGCCAGACAGGAACTGTAAGCACATTTCATTTCAGTTTTCTTCTACATTGTTGTACCATCTGGAAATGAGGAAGGACCATATCCTGCTATGAGACTCATGCACTGGAAATGTTTTAATCTAGCCTGAAAAAATAGGCCCAAGCAGTTTCAGGATGTGAAATTCAATCAGCTTATATCAGCAGATACACAACGCAAGTATAAACATAACACTATACACATATAATTACAACTGTAAAGTACAGTACGAGTAAATAACTGCAATTTGACATCACGTAACATTATGCAGCCTGTTTCAAAGTATAATGAATAGAGAAACTGAAGCATTCATTTAAACAATGAAACTAATTTGAAGGCACAAACTTTTAACAAAGTTTGGAACAATCTGTGGACTCTCAAAGCTGGGTTCATACGGGTGTCAATCACCCATATATACACAGAAATAAATATTAAATAATCCATCCAACCCTTATGTTTTTGCTGGTGAGGACAAAGAACATCTGAAAGACGATTCTGTTTATAAACAGAGTCTGTGATGTTTAGTATGATGCAAGATAGTGAAATTTGAGGCAACATCAGCAGATATACAATGTAATTACTAACAACTGGAATCCCTAGCAACTCAACACAGTGGTCATAAAAAACCCATTACTTGTTCTTCAGAGATCTGTTACAAATTTAAGGGTTTAATTTCAGGAAAGAACTGACAAACGAGAAGTTACCCCTTGGATTTTGATTCTTTCCTATTTATATCAAATTTGTTTGCTAGTATTAAATTACTATCCCATATTGTAGAAAAAACTGAGCAAACCTGCAACACAGGAAGCAAGCAAGGAGCAAGAACTATAGGTGTGTCGATAAGACCTCCCATCTCCTTTAATTGCACCTCGTGCCCAGCTCTCATTTTTAAGAATCTGTTCCCTTCAGAGCTTGGAATTACCAAATTATTTGATTTGAACTATTTCCTGAAACAGTCAACATCGTTAAGTAGAGCTATTCAGTCACTGAGACAAGAAAGCACTGAAGCAGCAAATCAGGTATTATATAATAATACACACTAAGAAAAAACACAATTACTTCAAGATACACTTTGAACATCACTGACAGAAAATAAAGGCCCTTGATTTTATTAGGAACTCTGTTTGGTCTGATAAAGACATCAGGAAGGGAACCACCACCTTAACATCTAAAAAAAAAATATATATATATACACACACACACATCACTATCCTGGTAATGTACCATGTTTTCTTGCACAATGTTACTATTGATTAGCAATATCAACATGCAGTGAAACAAGAACAAAATCGCAAGTAAATAAAAAAAACCCAACTGATGACAGTTCAGGTTCAATTCTTCCAGCCCAAACACATCAAATGGTCTGGCTACCACTATGAGTCTCTAAATGAGAGTTATATAAGATCTATACCAACAAGTTTGTTTCCTCAACTGCAGGAACTTCCTTCCCCCGGCCCCCCCCTTTTTTTTTTGCAATGGAAACCTGACTTCTCAGCTAATAGCCCCATTTCAGCAACAGCAGATACATCAAATGTTAGAGAGAGAATAGCAAAGATTCCAAGTCAATTATTGACTTGAATTTGAAATCCTGTATTATTCTGTACTTACCTTTATACGGGAGTGATTCATATTATGTCCCATATGGCTATGAAAATTACAGAACAGCCAAAATGTCTATACAAATCTGAATCTACCAGAATATTCTCTACAAATACAGAAGTTCAGAAATTCAACTACTGCTAGAACTTTCAACTGAATAAATAAATGAATAAAAGGTGGACCTCAGTTGTATGAGGGGCTTGATAATCCACAGTTCCTGAGGAAATCAAGACATTAAACAATACGAGTACAGAATTCCTTTCTGAAGTTTGAACTCCTAGACAGAATACCTAGCAATCATATTAATAAGAACTTGACTATTTTAATGTACATTTTTACTGAACACACATGTTTTCATGTCATTGAACTGAAAAAAAGGGATTCTATTACAAGATTCAAGACCTCTCAATTGCATGCCACTAATAAGACAAAGAAAAACAAAGATGAAGGCTACACTTTACATTTTCACAAAAGACTTTGAAATCAACTTCTTGTTACCCACTTTAAGTCTTGCTCAGTATAAGCATACAAAGCTCCACATTTTCTCAGATTCAAAGGAAAAATCTCTTAAATTACATGGAAACAGATATATGCATTCCTACCTGCTGTGTCTTTTGCAAGTCACCTGTTTTAAATTTGTTATTTCAGAAAATAACAGGCTTCCTTCTTTCTTAAGGTCTACCTAAAAGTTGCAGTTACGCAATCCTCACTTGATTTCTACCATTCCAGTTTAAAAATTAGCGATCATTTCCAAAGCAATTTCAGCTTTGCCTGAGAAACACAGTGTTGTGGTACACAAGCCAATCTTAGAGTTGCAGCTGAGCACAGGATGCAAAAGACTGATGAAATTGCTGAAATAATCAGCTACTATCATCCATTTTCCTTGGATAAATAGCATAATCCAGTTTAAATGTATATATTTAGTAAGAGACATGCAAAAGTATCAAAGGATTGTCTTCCAGTCTAGAAGACCAAGACCAAGTGGAGTTTTCTCTGCCTTCATGTCTCCCACAGGGAGAGCCTAAAAGTTTTCTGGTCCTTGCAATACTCAAACCAGCATTACTTTAGTATGACTTTGCAAACCAATGAGGATACTGTATTAACACACGCTAGGATTGCACCATGGTGACAGTGTGAAAACACACTAGTTTATATAAGGTCACAGCTACAGCAACAAGCATGACAGCATTAATTTTCTGCAATCGCCAGACACAAAAAGACACTAGTATCTCTCAACTCTTACAGACTCTAGCACCACTTTGCAAGACCAAATAAGTCTGAACATTTTTCAGTAAGATCAAAACTGCTTATTACCTGTTTTTCCAGCTCCACTCTCTCCTGTGATAAGGATACACTGGTCTTTGTCCTGGTCCCTTAAAGATCTGTATGCTTCATCTGACAGAGCAAAGCTGCAAAGTAAGAAAGAGTCAACTGAGAATTTTATAAAACAAATAGCAACAATAACTACATTCTCGTTTTCATGGCGGGGGGGGAACACACACGACACGACACACACAACACAACAGACAAACGCCAAGTCCTAATATTCTGTAAGCGGTGAAGCATTCACTTTTCAGAATATAAGGATCCACAGAAGCAAAATGGATACTTTTTCTCAGTTGCTTACTTAGACTTTCTCCAAGAACAAGCAAGCATAATCTCTAAGTTCTTCTAAAGATAGCAAGCTCAAAACAAATTCACAAAATTTCAGGCGATTTAGGTAGCATTCTTGACTGAATAAAATGTCATATTCTTCATTGAACAAAATGTCAACGCATCAACAGGATGTGTTCTGTCTGAAGACATTTAAGAAAAAGTAAATAGGAGAATCCTGAGCACTAACAATACCATAAGCTGCAACTTCTAATCTGAAAAATATGGAAAAATCTCAGAACTTTATAAAATATTGAGCATTTTAAGCATTTGAGTTATTGCTGGACTTTTGCATAAATATGCAGAAGCGTTTCACAATAGCGTTTCACAATAGTTGTTTCACAACACAACTAAGTGTTACTTACTTTACACTCAGTAAAAAGGTGATGTCATGTAGTGAAATGAAAGAATATAGTAAGAATCAACAGCTTTCCTGTACCAAAAATGTCTTTCCATGGAGCTCAGAACATTATGAATCTGAAATTGCTGGGTTGCAATCTGAATCCAGAGGTGCTTTGTTGCCATGCAGCAACATATATTTTGGAGAAATGCAGATGTGTTACTTATATTTAGTTTTCTTTAGTAGTAGTTTTGAGAAAGAGAAAGAGTAGTTTTGATTTTGTTTCAACTGCATTTTTCAGTTCATGGAATAAAGGACTCTGGAAACTGAGTCTTAGAACCTCTTTGAAAAACTTAAGCAAGTAGTATCTGAAAAAGGACATAAAAGCAAAATCCAAATAAAAAGGCACACTTGCATGACACAACTTAAAGAAAAAAATCTGATAGCCAAACACAGCATATCATTGCAGGTTCAATGCACCTTTTAGAAACTTCATTCTTTAATCTGTGACAGTTCAGCAGCTTTGCATTCAGCTGATAACTACAAACAGATCAAGTATTTGTTTTGAATAATGTAGCCATATAGTGCTTTCACAGGCAACCACAGTCTCTTTCTAGATAAGCAAGCTCTTTGTCATGAAACTACTTAGGGGTAACGCAGACAACACAACACAGGTAATGAGAGCCACACAGAACCTTTTCTAGAGGCTCCGACAGTGGCAACTTGAAAGCTTCAAATATTAAACCTACACATACACAAATTGGTTTATACTTTTTTTTTTTTTGCTACCACTGTCTCTTAGCTCAGGAAGTTTTTCATTCTGGCTTCTCTCCCCAAAAAAAGTTTATGGAGAGCATGTCCTATTGTCCCCAGTTTAATCACCACATGCATGAGCGGCACTACTTATACTTCCCCATCCCTCATTCGTATTAGACTCTTCTCATATTTGCTTAGTTGCGTTTTGGTTTTGTTTGCTTGTTTAGTTTTATGGTTGCATTGTGTTACCACTCAGCCATCCTGCAAGAGCCCAGCATACCAAGTGAATGGTATTCTGAAAAGGTTGGGAAACGAGTAAATGAAATGCCTTACGGCTCCTTTACTACTAAATATTCACACCTTCCCCACCCTCCCTAGTTCCTGCCAATGATGCTCACGTTGTCGGTTCCCGCCTCTTTGTGTCCCTCCTACCTCTTCCCTCCTGCAGTGCATCTGCCTGTAGTTGCATGACCAGCCCAGGGCTCCATCTCTCTCACTGCTTTTCTCGCCTTACGTTGTCCAAGGCACTAAATTACAATTATTCTCTCTGCACAGATGGTTGGGCCATCCACTTAACAACAACGATCAAAGGTCATTAAATCCTTTTGATACCACTGAACCCAAATTAAGACTGATCTCTCAAAACTTAATACTGCTGTGGTGATGGAAACATTTGAACTCAGCAGTTCAACTGGACGTGAAAATGTGTTTACGAGAAAGTAGCAAGCTGTAATGCTTTTAGCATTACAACAAAGTCAATTTGTGATGTGATCAACATGCTGAAGAACTAGCAGAAAAAACCAAACCAAACCAAAACAACTCTGCTGCTGCTGAGAGACCATGACACAATTTCTGGCATCCACTTCACTGTCCAGAATCCAAACTACAGTAGCAATAACACTTTACCAGACTCTCTTATAGGACCTATTTAGGAAATGAATAATATTTGTTGAATGTTGCTGCAGACACACTTGTAAATTGAAGAGTACAATGCACAGCACTCAGAAAAGCTTATTCCAGCACCCATTATATTCCTTTTTGCAAGGAACAAAAAGCAGCAGGATGAAGACGAAAGAAATAAACTGCACTAAGCATTCATGGGCCATGTGAGAAAATGCTAAAACTAATGCTGTGGTTTCCACGGGTTTGGTTCAGGAAACTGGCTTTCAGCAGGAAGGTAAGACTCTGAGACGCTTTACAAACTGACAGTCTGGATGGCTCATTTTGTGCCTGCTGTGCTTCAAACAATCTCAGCCATCAACTAGTATTTCATTGTTGAAACAACTTTCTTGGCAGTAGGTTTCACGCCGGAAAACAAAGTCAGCATCAAGCACAGACAAAGTATTCTCTCTTGTTGATATACTGAGTTATGAGTTAATCAGCTTAGTAACCATTCATCTTTTCTAATACACTGAATTTTAGTTTCCCAACAGCCCCTGTCAAAACATATTTTACTGTTTGATGTATTTATGAACTTTGCCTGCACTGCATAGTTAAACACACCAAATCATGCTTTTTCTCCACCCTCAGCAGAGAAACTGAGAGTGTAATACTGCAGCGAGACCTCTGAAGTTGGAGAAGAGAATGGGATTTCATCCAGTTCTGGTTTTATCCAATCTAGTCAGAGACATTTGGCATACATTATCTTTTCCTCCGATCCTCTACACAACCCAGCACAGCCTAATATTTCACAAGTATATGATCTTACTATCTTACTTGATAGTAAGATCAATTACTATCTACTACAGACAAAAGGAAAAATAAGCTGACTCACTTCAAAAGAAGTTTTGCGTATGTACTTATCAAAAGTTACCTAGTAGAAGTATTCTAAAATTTCCCTCTGACACTTCAGCCACTGCTCTAACAATTCAACTGGAGGAGGCATAACCAAAAGTGTATTTAAATAACTACGATTTATTTGTCTTTCTGGCATTGCATAAACAGCATTAGGCACATTTATGTCAGAGCCTGAACAAAAATCTTTATCTCAAAGGAAAAGATAGATCTATTAATTTGTCATGTCAACTTTCATGGCACACGATTACACCTCACAGTCCTTCCTATCTATTATTGCCTTTTATCTTTGCAATAAACAAATTAAAATTAAAAAAACAAACAGATGAAAAACCCAACCTTGAAGTCTTTTGGTTCAAACTCTATGTGTTCCAAAAACATAATTTCATGCTATTCCCTATTTGCATTTCATTTAAGGTCATTTTAGTTTAACACATTTTAATGATACATAGACCACAAAGAATCCTTCTATTCTTTTCCTTTTTGCAACATTAAGAAACACAGCTCTGTAAAGTCAACAGTTGCAACTATAGGTTTAAACCACATACCACTCTTTGAGCCACCTCACAATTACAGAGCCTAAGTAAAATTTTAGAATAGTCTGTAGTTTAAAAAGCAGTTACAAACCATGTGTTTTGAATTAGCTGGTGAGTGTGTCAGCAGTGTCATTTACCATACCTTATAATAAGCTCTCCTTTGATTTTTAGGTTTTCATGAAAGACGATGACATTTTCCTACCACAACAAACACAGAAATATTTACTGGAGTTCTCTTTTAGCTAAGACTTAAGTATAGAAGCAATTTGAAATTGAAACGCCACCCATACCTAGCTCAGAAAGAAGGCTCTGCTTTTTTACAGCATGGTTTTTTCAGCCACATAGCTCCAGATGGCTAGATCTATCTAGTCCTAACCCGAAAATTCTAACAAAGGGAAATAGCACGTAGGCCTCCATGGGGGATTTCCAAAGGGCTCCAGCAGTTTTCAGCAGCACAAGAGCATCTCTATGCTCTAACAAAACACCAGGGTAGGGCAGAGATAGGTGCAAGGTTCCCACCTGCTTGCCCCAAAATGAGCATCGACTGCTATTGCCTCATCTGAACGCTCAAGATTGCGCCCACAATTACACCAAGGGTAAAAACCTTTCTCTTATTGTCATAAATTCAGCTCACGGGAACAGCTCTTCTCTTCTACCATCTTTTTCCTTTAAGCCAAAATAACGAGGATCAGTATTTGCCAGCTATTGGTACTTCTTTCCTTCTGTCATTTCCCTTAGCATTCTCAGTTAACAGTAATTAGTTAACACTACCTTAAGCTCCATCAGTCACTTTTCTCGTGCTTTAATAGAGTCAATTCCCTTCATCCTATCTTCACTGGCTGTTGCTTTGATTCCGAGAGTCTCAGTCCCCATTTTAAAACATCTATTGCTAAATCTTGGCTTGCAACTGCCAACTCATTTGTTACGTTCAAAGGAAATTAAGAAAACTTCTCTTCTTGACTGCGCCAATTCCTCATGAAGTAGAGCCCTGGTACCACTTTGCTTCCGCTCAACTGTCTCTAAACACACTGGGCAGGATACTAGAAGTCAGTGCTTATCAAAGACTATATATCATGCTAGATTAAAAAGAACAGCAGTAAAATGTAAATTGTAGATACATTTTAAATGTGAATTTTACAGTAAGTGTTATTTATATTAATCCCTTCAAGTTTTAATTAAGAGTATCATTTAAGTTACTTCCTTTTCTTTCTGAATGCATAGAAGTGCTCTGTAACAGGGTAACAGCAAACAATTGATTTCCTCCTCTCACAGCATGCAGTGGGAAAACATCAGAATTGCAGTTTGTTTGGGTATAAAAATTCCTAACAAC